TATCTCTAACCACACCCCCCTCGGCCCCAAGCTCCCCTGCCATTTGTCTCTGGATCTGTTTTTGTTCATCAGTTTATGTTGATCATTGTATCCCACATATGAGAAGATCATGTGATATTTTTCTTTCTCCTACTGGCTTATTTCGCTTAGCATAATGCTCTCCAGGTCCATCCATGCTGTTTCAAATGGTACAAGTTCCTTCTTTTTTACCGTAGCATAGTATTCCATTGTGTAGATGTACCACAGTTTTCTAATCCATTCATCTACTGATGGGCACTTAGGCTGTTTCTAGATCTTAGCTATGGTGAATTGTGCTGCTATGAACATAGGGGTGCTTATATCCTTTCTGATTGGTGTTTCTGGTTTCTTGGGATATAGTCCTAGAAGTGGATCACAGGGTCAAATGGGAGTTCCATTTTTAACTTTTTGAGGAAACTCCATACTGTCTTCCATAGTGGCTGTACCAGTCTGCATTCCCACCAGCAGTGCATGAGGGTTCCTTTTTCTCCACATCCTCGCCAGCACTTGTCATTTGTTGATTTGTTGATGATAGCCATTCTGACAGGTGTGAGATGGTACCTCATTGTTGTTTTGATTCAGGTGACTTTTTCACTTATTGGGTTCACCTATCTAGTTATTTGTGTAGTAGGTGGCACGTGGTGTGACCCTCTCAGACAAGGATCACTGTCTGGTCCTGCATATTAGAACAGTTGGGCTCACAACTCAGGGTTATCCTACCAGTATTTATCTCATGTATTCTCTTGGGTAGTTGAAATTACAGACAATGGCATCTCATCTCTAAAACTTCAGTATACATTTCTAAGAGAATAAGGACATTTTCTTACATAACTACTATACCATACTTTCCAAATACAAATCTCCCCAATTTGGACTAGTTTTGAAAAAAAAAAAAAAAAAAGAAAGAAAGAAATAGAATAGAAAGTATTTCAGGGTTTCAGATGTAGTAAGGAAAAAATTGTTCCATACAACTTTTGCTTTAATTACATGTATGTATGTCTATGTGTCATGATATAAACGTTGTATCACACTGTGGTTTGCAGCCTCAGTATGAAGAGCCCTGCTGTAGGCCAGTGGTGCCCAAACTGTGGTCCTGGGACCAGCAGCATCAGAATTCCTGGGACTTGTTAGACATGCAGATTCTCAGGTTCCATCCCACATTACTGAATCAGAATCTCTGGAAATGGGGTTAGGATTTTTGAAAAATCACCTGGACAGTGATTCTGCTAGTTTGAGAACCACTGATCTAGACTAAACTAGGTGGCCCCCCAGTGGTGCCTCAGGCATCCCTCATCCTCACATGGGGCACCCAAGGGGGGTCCTTTGTCTTTTTCTTCATTGTCAGAGGCAGTACTGATAGTCCACTAACAGGGAGGTGGAATCTCCCTTGGCAGTGTTTGGAGGATGGTTTCTCTTTGTAAACTCAGGTGAACCCTTATCTGAAAGAAGAGAATGGTCTAGATCTGTGGTCGGCAAACTGTGGCTTGCGAGCCACATGTGGCTCTTTGGCCCCTTGAGTGTGGCTCTTCCACAAAATACCACGTGCGGGCGCACGTACAGTGCGATTGAAACTTCGTGGCTCATGCGCAGAAGTCGGTTTTTGGCCTGGGCGAGTCTTTTTTGAAGAAGTACTGTTGATATTTGGCTTTGTGGACTAATGAGTTTGCTGACCACTGGTCTAGATTCATAAGATTAGTAATATGCAGTTTGGTCCCTGTACCAGCAGCATCTGTAAAATGAGACTCAATCCCTTACAGGGTTACTTTGAGGCTTAAAAGATGTTTGTGAAATACCTACCATTATAATAAGCACAGAGCAGTCCCTTGTCATATAGCAGTGGTAGTTGCTGTACTTGACACTGCCTATCACAACTCTGGGCACATAGTTGATGTTCAATAGATGTGGCTGATTGTTATTTAATTAATTAGAGAGGGAGGCAGGCTATTCTGGCTTGTTCCTTAATTTTGCCATATTTTAGAGGAGGGATATAGATCACAATTAGGAAGGAGAAAAGAAGTGAGGAAGGCAGGAGGGCGGGGAAGGAGAGACCACAAGCATGTCCACATTTATAAGAGCAATGGAGATAATGACCATTTTCTTGGAGGAACGAGTTATGAGCTATTGAAAGCTATGAGCTCATTCCTTTTTACAGGACCTCAGAACGGGAGAAGGGAACTTTTAGATCACAGACGACATCCCCGAACACACAGCCCCCATGACCCAGGTGAAGCAGTTCCGGCCCTGGGAGAGCATGTGTTAGAGATGTGGGACAGAATTGGTTTCTTTCTTTCTTTTTTAAAATATATTTTTATTGATTTCAGAGAGGAAGGGAAAGGGAGAGAGAGAGAAACATCAATGATGAGAGAACCATTGATCGGCTGCCTCCTGCAAGCCCCACACTGGGGATTGAGCCTGCAACCTGGGCATGTGCCCTGTCTGGGAATCGAACCGTGACCTCCTGGCTCATAGGTCCATGCTCAACCACCGGGCCATGCCAGCCAGGCCTGAATTGGTTTCTGAGGACAGGCACTGCCTACTACATCTTGCCATAAATCCAGCCAACTCATTTCCATGGGGACCTTTGAAGATTGTGAAGGTACAGGTGTGGGAAAGGACAGCAGCTCTCTGAGTGTGATTTATTCTCTTTCTGTCTCTTTTTGCTTTCATTCCCATTCATAAGCTTCTCCTGCCTCCCTTTCCTCTATCCATTCCCCCTCTCCCTTCTTTTCATGATTCTCACCCTGAGGGCATGGCCTAATCCAGGAAGCTGAGGATCTGCGATGTCATCAGTTCCACATCAGTCTCCTAGGCAACCTGCTCATTTCTAGTGATCTAAACTCACAATTGGCTTTGATTGGGTACCAGGGTTCTGATTACTATCAATAGGCAACACCTCCTTTGTTTCCTCAAAAACACTTGTGACCCTTGAATAGGGTCAGAAACCACCATGGAAACACAATCCAGAGCTGTTTTACTTCTTTTGGTCTTTAACCCCTTTCTGAATTTCTTGCAAGAGGCTGCTATTTAAAAATGGTTGTTCTACTTGTGCAGGCAGCCTGCAAACCTCCTAGAAGGGAGAAGGGCAGAACCTCTGCACACATCCCATGTTACAGGTAGACTAACATCATCTCTTAACCACAGCCCACAGTTGTTGCAGAAAGCATTTAAAAATGTCCCCAAGCCGAAACCGGTTTGGCTCAGTGGATAGAGCGTCGGCCTGCGGACTGAAAGGTCCCGGGTTTGATTCCGGTCAAGGGCATGTACCTGGGTTGTGGGCACTTCCCCAGTGGGGGATGTGCAGGAGGCAGCTGATCGATGTTTCTCTCTCATCGATGTTTCTAACTCTCTATCTCTCTCTCTTCCTCTCTGTAAAAAATCAATAAAATATATTAAAAAAAAAAGATTGTAATCCTGAGAACCTACCCCCTTCTTAAAAAAAAAAAAAAAAAAAAAAAAAAAATGTCCCCAAGCCCCGGGGATGTGTGGCTACTACTAGAAAGAAATTGGATCCATGGTGTTTGGAGTTGGGATTTATTTATTTAATACTAGAGTCCCAGTGCATGAAATTTGTGCACAGATGGGGTCCCTAGGCCTGGGCAGCGATCAGAGCCTATCTGGGTCTTCCTTCCCCTGGCTGTCGGCTGGAGCTTTCCTTCAGTCTGTGCCGCCCCTGGTGGTCACTGCCCGTCATAGCAAGCAGCCCAACTCCAGGTTGGTCAAACTCCAGAGGGGACAATTTGCATATTAGCCTTTTATTATATAAGAAATTATATAAAATGTATATTGTTTAGTGTGAAGGGGAGAGCCGAGTTTCCTGGCATTTTCAGGACACGTTGGTGAACCCGGTACTCTGGCCACAGGATATTCAGGGTCCTCAGTTGTCGGGTATTGAGGGACCACCATCTGACCAGATTGTGTTTGCGTAGGCTCCTCCGCCTCACCCCCCCACCCCCCCAATGCTGACCGGGATTGTTTTTTTTCTTCCCGCCAGGCGGCATCTGGAGTCACCTAAGGAAGCTGGGACAGCGTCTCCACCCGACAGCTGCTCCGAGCAGCGGCTCCTGTAGTGATGGGGGAGGAGGGCCCCATGGGTGCGGTGCCAGACCTTCGCAGGAGGGAGTGGCGCGCCCGGCACACGGAGCGGCGGCGCACGGCACAGCCCGCGCGGTGGAGACGGGTACCCACCCGCATGCCCAGCCCTGTCCGGCTCCAAGTACAGGAGTGTCCAGTGTGTCCAGTGGACGCTATGACTGCGTGAGAAAACCTCCAACTGAGTGGGGAGAGCAAACGCCAACCGCCCCCACCCTCCGCATCAGCCCCCCAGCCCCGAGCAGGAGAAAGGAGCCGGCTGCAGGCCGCCCCCCAGCCCTCCTTCCCGAATCCTGGGGGGCTGGCTCGCCCCTCCCAGTCAGGCCCTGCTCACCTCGGCTTCTCCGCAGATACCTGGGGGGAGGAGGGGCGAGCCGGGATGGCGCACAGCTGGCGGTCAGAACCCGGTGCTGGCGCAAGCGCCCACGTTGCCGCCTCCTTCCCCCGACTCTGGGTCGCAGCCCCACGCGAGAACCGGCTGCGCTCGGGCGCGTGCGCGCCTCCCCCGGAGCCCTCGGTGCCGCCCGCCAGGAGAAAGTGGGCGCCGAGGCGGGAAGAGCCGGGCGCGCGGCGCGGCGGGGCGTGGGGTGGGCGGCGCGGAGCAGCGGGTCCCGCGGCCACCTCCGCCCTCCGCGCTCCCAGGCTCCGCGCGGCCCCCTGAGAGCGGACCGAGCATCCCCACCTCGACCCTCAGGAGGTGGCGCCGGCGACCCGACGGCCCAGGACCGCAAATCCAGAACCCGCCTCGCTCCCTCGCCCGGGAGGCCCGTTGCGCAGTTGCAGGGAGGTTGGAGCGCTCTGCTCTTCTCAGCTCCGCAGCTGCCGTTCCCTCTCTGAGCCAGACGTCACGCTGGGCGAGCTGCCCGACTTCACCTTTAAAATAATCCCCGGAGGGCGTGGCTGGCATCGCCCGGCCCAGCCCCGCAGAGTTGGCCTGGCTGGCAGCGACTCTGGTCTGTGCCTGGAGAGAGCGAGGAAGAGGGTGAGGGCAGGGCACCCTCCGGAGGAGATGCCGTTGAAAACCATCCAGAGCAGCAGTAGAAACAGTTGGTGTCGCTTTGTTTTGTTTATAAACTGACCGTTTGTTTCTTTCCCGGCGAAATGTTATTTGGGTTAAAAGAAGAAATGGCTCCCCAAGAGCTCACCCGGCGACTGGCCACAGTGACCACTCACGTCGGTAAGAGAAGTTTTTTTTTTCTTCTCTTGCATTTTATTAATGGTGGGGGCGGGCGGAGTAGGCCGGGGTCTCCTCTCCCCCTGCCCTCACCCGCAGCCCGGGGGCGGCGCCCTCCCTGCGAAGGCCGTGGGCGCGCGCGCGCCTTGCGCCTGGGCCTCGCCGCTGCTCCGGGCGGTCGGTAACAGGCATCTTCGGGGGTTGTCAAGTCTGTTGGGTCTTAAACCGCGAGGTGTACTGAGCTTTAGAGGGTCCATTACCTGCTTCCGACCAGGGACTCGGGGTGAGGACTTGTGTCGTAGTTTACCAGGTAATGGGAGCAGGAGGGAGAAATGCAGGTGTTTCGGGCAGAAACTGCTGCCAAACCACTGGAGGCTCCTAGTGAAACGTGCGTCCTTCCGCGACCCCTTCCCTGGACACATCCAGGGCGAGCGCCTTTGGGTGGGTGTGACTAGAATGTCGGGTCATTTTCTCTGGTGCTCACTTCACTTTGAGACCCTTCCGTGAATGCTAATCAGTTTCCACTGATAAGGAGTCTGGAAGTTTTTACCTTGTTAGAACTGCCTTCTTGGTGATTATATGTGAAATCTTAATTGAATTAGTGAGTCATCATTGCACTTTGGGGGCTTTAGTTCAGTGTGTTTATGTACAATAATGATATACATCTCGAATGATACACATGTGGAGATATACTTTGTGAAGATGATTTATATGGAAAGGCCCAGTTTTGATGATTCTGTTTTCAAAAATGTGCCTGGTGCCAAATGTGGCCACTGAATGGTGGTTTTTTGTTTGTTTTTGTTTTTACTTTAAGAGAAAAGGTCAGTAGAGTCCTGACAAGGAGGGCTGAATGTGAAATATTGCTGGAGGCAGGATGAAATAAGAAGAAAAATACCTTCTAATAAAAGAGAATTTGACATTTGCAAGATATTGAGTGCTGAAATGACTGTGCCAAATACCAGCCTATGCATGAAATTTTGGTGTAGAGAAAGATCAGTGGATTGGGGGTATGACCTGTTGGATTTGAGTCCTTCCCTGGATAAGCCACTGAATGTCAGGCTGAAAAATGGGAGGGTTAATAATTCTTCCGTACTCACTCCAAGGCTATTTGTAAGATACTGTGGGTAAAAATACCATCTGCACTGTCAATGTGTTATTGGTCATATCTGGGCAGGACACTGGGCCTGGAGGGAGACCTGGATAATAGTTCTCAAGAACTGGTAGGCAGTATTCCTTGGCTAACACTAGGCTGCCTGTGGGGTCCAGGCTATGGTATATTTTTCTCATCTTGCTACGTCCCTCCTCCAATAGTCAGCTCTGTGTAGGAAACAAACATGAATTTGTGTAGTTTCTGCCCTCAAAGAACTACCACGGACCCCTGGCATCTGTGCCCTTTGCAGCATTCGCTCTCCTGTGCAATCTCACAAACGTATGAAATAGGTGGAGTATCCATTACTCCTATCTTACAAATGAAGGGATTGAGATTTTAGGTGACTCATATTTTATGGTTTCAGGGGTAACACATGATAGGCTTGGGACCATGCCGGAAGCCGGTCCATCCTTGCTGCTTGACACAGTCGCTGCAGAAAAGAAACATCTGCACAGCATATGTTTCAAGGGACCTGGCGTATATAGCATACTGTTCTTAATATGTTTGCTCTCCTTAGTGCAATGTGTTTTAACCAAGGTCACCTCTCCGAGAAAGGTTGTTTCCCCAGGTAGGGATTTTTCCCTGAAGTTAGGGAGGGAATAAAACCCCTTAACTAAAGGCCAGGCGGGTAGTTAATCACTTTAACTAGGAACAATCACCCTTAAGCTACATAATCTTTACTCCCTGGAATGGAGATAAGAAACGCCCTTTGGAATAGAAATTGACAGGATAAATATCAACTGGTATAAATACAGATGTAACAAGACAATAAAACACAGAACTTGGCTGGAGATCCTGGACAGAACTTGGCTAGAGATCCTGGCTAGGCTGCTGATCAACTGAATGCTGTCTCTGTGTCATTCCTTCTTCGCCAACTCCATCCACACCTTTGGGGACCCCTGGACCTGTTGGGGTTGGACCCCAACAGGACCAGAAGGCAGCTCTTCCCATGCTCTGTTGGGGCTCTCACTGAGGAGGTCTCTAACCCTGCAGTAGCCCCTGTCTTCATGGGGAGTTGCAATAAGCAGCCAGTAAACTTCTGCTAAGATGGATGGACTCTGCATTTGAGGTGTGTGATGGTGAATTGGGGAAGGGTTGGAAGTGCTTAGAGTAAGGTTGTTGGGAAGAACATTCTCCTGGTCCTACCTACTTGGCTGCATAACAATATGAAGCATCATGTAACTATGGTGCTCTGCTGTGTCTGGGTCACGGTCCTCTCCATCTACCACAGCACCGAGGGCAAGGTCCTAGTGGCTGTGGAGACCTCCATCTTGGCTTCAAGTGCTGGATTAGTAGGCTGCCTTTTTACCCCAAAGTACTACATTATTCTGATAAGACCTGATAACGCTTCAGAAGGTTTAAGGAATAAAATAGGTCCCAGGAGAAACAGGCATTCAAGCTTTATCTCGTAATTCTTTATCACATTTTTAGACTTTTGAAAAACAAACTACTAAAATGTTATATCTCAGTTATATATTTTTAAACATGTGCTTCCGTATTCATTGTCCACCTCTGTCTCTCAGCCAATTCCTCCTCCAGTTGGGATTTCTGCTCTTTCCATGATCCCTGAGATTTGAAAGATTCAGGTCGGGGTCCTGTTGATTCAAGTTTCTGAAATACCTAATGAGTCTCTTCATGTCCATTCCCACTGCTATCTGCCTCTGACCTGCTTCAGAACTTCATTTCCTTCTGAGTAACCATTGTGCAAGCCTCTTGCCTCTCCCGTGTTTGCCTCTAACCTATACCAGGAATTACTGGTATAAAAACAACAACATGGCACTTGTATATTACAAAAACGTTCATGCTACTCTTACATAGTCATTCCCTGTAGCCTGGAGTACAAGCTCTTTATTGTTTGACACCTTTTAGTCTTTTCTCCTAATACTTGCTGTCTCTGTATCTATGGTTGGGCAACTTGGGCTGAGTCCTTCAGCTTCGTTCCACTATATTTTCTACTATATGTGTTCCCACCTCCAAACGTTTTCTTCTGCTTTCCCTCCATTTGGAATGACCCTTTAATATATTTCTCCTCACAGAAATAGTACAAACCTTGCAAGTCCTGAAATTCAGTGCTTCCTTCTTCAGGTACTTTCTTTCATCCTGTCAGTGGGACACAATGAGCCCCCTTTCTGATTTCCTAAGTAGGTTTTGTTCTTTTCACATGACATCTCCCACACTCTTCCTTGTATTATGGTTAGTTGATTATTTGAGTGCTTATCTCAGCTCCTAGACTCCTCATTCCTTATCTGTGTGGCCTAGTTACCTAACACAGGGTCTCCCTCTGTGAAGATGCAGAATAAATGTTTGCTGAATGTATGAAGGATTGGTTGTGCCTTGGACTGGAGCTTGAGTGCTCAGTAATGTCAGGCAACTTTTAGACTTTTAAGGACTGAAGTATTTGTGGATAATTCTTTTGCTTCTTAAGCTCCATTTTTCAAGTAAACATTAAGCCCTTCAGATGTTTTTTATGTGATGTGCTTCACTCCTTCTTTGGATTTTGTTAGTTTGTCAGGGACCCTCATACAATATGCAGTTCACATGTGAACAGTGTCCAGATGTGTTTTTACCCATGCAGGACACAAGTAGGATTATCTTCTCCCCTTTATTCTGGACTGTAGAGTCACATTGGTTCAATCACAGAACTTCAGAATCAGAAGAGTTTGATTTTCCCCAACTCATCCTTTTCAATTCTTGAATCCTCTCTGCAAGTTCTTGCTGTACTGCTATTTATATGCAGAGGTGCTGCCTAAGTACACATGAATTTTCTAATACATCTCAGATTGCTCTAGGATTCTGATAGACAGACTACATATTGCTCACATGGGGCTTCCAGTCAGTGGAAAATCTTAGTCATCTAGCTGATTGGTGTGAGTAATCCCCCACTCAGGTTTCATATTTCAAGTCCTGTTCACTCTCTCAGATTATCATCTCATATTAGAAGTATTGATTTTGATTTTACTCTATTATTGTTCTAAAATAATTTCATGTGTTTGGCTATACCCAATTAAACTGTGAGGCAGAAAGGAATATCCTTTGAGATATTCCTTATATAATTGGAGATTGGATTGGTGGCTGTTTTGGTGACAAAAGCTGTAGATTTTGACTCGTAACCCAGATCACTACTTTTAGGATGATACTGGCATTGATAATATGCAACCAGAAAAAGAACAAACTGAGAAATTAAGCCCATGACTCATTATTCTAAAATGGAATAATGACTGAAATGGCTAGGATCCTCAGCTGTTTGTGCTGTAGACAGGATCTAATTAGTGTATTTGCTGCTTAGATAGGAATGAGTCCAGTGGGGACAACTAGACATGCTGGAGTAATGACTTCATCTATCCCAAAAGTGAATTAACTGCATCTGAGTGATTTTTTTCTATTGGGCTCTCTATAGTAGAATTTTTGGAACACAAAAACTGATTGACAACTAAATTGCAAAGTGCAAAATAAAATTTAAGAAATGCTTAATTTAAATATCTACGGAAGTTCTTTTACCCATAATAAAATAATATTTCATTGCATTAAAAAACAATACATAGTTTCAATTCTACTGTAGATGCTCCTCAACTTACAATGGGGTTATATCCTGATAAGCCTATTGTAAGTTGAAAATGCATTTAATACACCTAACCTACTGAACATCATAGGTTAGCTTAGCCTACTTTAATGCTCACAAAGCATTTACACAGGAAAATTCACCATCAGATGCCCTCACTGGTGAATTATACCAAACATTTAAAGAAGAATTACTACCAACTCTTCACAAACTCTTCAAAAAGGAAGAGGAGGGAATATTCCTCAGCTCATTTTATAAAGCCAGTATTACCCTAATACAAAACCAGACAAAGAC